CCCAGCCTGAAATACTTTTTGATTATAACACCCATTATTGATGATTGCTTACGTGCCAAGCATATTGCTTGGTATTTTAGGTATATTACCACCTTTTTGTCCTGCCAGCTTTTGCAAGCAGGTTACTTATCCTTATTCACAGACAAAAATTTTGAAACAAGAAGACCTGAGACACTCAATAAGTTTCCCCCAAGCATTGCCTAGGTACTTGTAGACCCTCAATTCCTACCAAGGTCTGACTCATTCCTCCTTCAGTGCTTGTAATCACAGGGCAAGCAACTGAGACACTAACTCATTGTATCTTCAGGTCATCACTGAGTGGTCTTGTCACGTCATCCTTTAGGCAGCACCAAGAGTCACTGGCTGCAGAGAGAGAGAGGCGGCGGCAGGAGAGAGAAGAAAGGTTGCAGAGAATAGAACGGGAAGAAAGAAACAAATTCAGGTAAGAAGGATTTTAAGATTTTCTAAAATAATGAATCGAAGATTAAAGCACATGGCTTTAAAGCTGTATGTAATTGATGCTGGTGTTAAAGGGTTAGAAAATAATGTGGTTGCCTCAAATCCTGTCTGTATCTTTAAGGAAGAGAGAGACTTACCTGAAATAGGCTGGATCTGGTTTAGTGTGGCCTTTGTTTCTCCAACCATATGGCAGGAAGTGCAGATAGCCAAACACAATTAGGGATTTGTATGTTCTTGGTTCTTCTGTTATTTAAAATACTCTTATCCAGGCCTTCCTGATGACGGAGAGCCTAATTGTTTTAACTTAATTTGCCATCTCTCCCTAGTGCACCTCATGTTTTATTCATATTCTGTTGGATGCCTAAATGCTTTTCCTACTTTCTGGTTTGCTTCTTGCTTCCTGTAACAATCTTCAACGTATTTTTTTAAAGAACAATCTCTCTTCCTGTGTGGGGGGAAAGTCATTGTGTTGATTACTCTCAGCCCCTTGCCTGCTGGTCTCCTGGTTTCTGTCCAGCTCCGGGGATGTGTTCCTGGGTGTGGCCCATTCCCCGTTCCATATCTTGACTGGCCTGTCCCCACTAAGTCCAGTGTCCCTGAGCTTCTCCTTTAGCCAGTTCACCTGTTCTCTGCATCCTCCAGCTTCACCTCCCTGACACCTCTCTACTGGGCTTCATGCTGTGCTGTGCTTTATGGATACAAAACACTTGCTGAATCTTGCCGTGCACATTTCATTCCTTCCACTCTTCTTACCTCCTTTCCCTCTCTCTCCTCCTCCTCTAGTATTTTCTTTCCCTTCCTCATCTTCCTAGTCATCTTCCCTGTAGCTTCTACATACATAGCTTCTCCCCGCCCCACTTCCTGTTTCCTTGGTTCACTTCCTGTCACAAACCATATTCCCATCAATTACTCCCAGTTACTACAAGGAATGTATGATGTTTTCAGTGAAGATTTACAGATTCAATAACTTAATTTTTTCCACAAGCCAAGAAGAGTATGTTTAATTGTAGAAATGATCGAAATATGAGTAGAGTTGTGAAATTGCTTAAACTGTGTGTCACTGCTTCATGAAAACAAATACCCCGTGTTTGTGGGTGAAATGCTAATCCTAGCTTTTGTAAGACTGGGTGAATGGGCTGCATGAAATAAATTGTTTGGCATACCCAGAGCTGTCAGATTTCTACTAAATGATATGTGGAAATGCCAGCCTTGTATGCACTATTTCTCATAAGGTAGTTCTGAAAGTTGTCAATTTTGGAAAGATCAATTCTTGAAAGCCCTGAAATAGGTTAAATGCTTCTTAATTTATGGTTTTCTGAGAGATCTGCATATTTTACTGCCAAATAGCAGCAAGAATCTGACTGAAATATGTGGAAAATTCAGAGATTAGCTTACATCCAAAGATTTTTGATGGAAAACCTCTAAAACAGGGTACCAGTTCTTGGTAAAATGAAATCATCCTGTTTCCTACTGTATCATTGAATGCAACCATAAATCATGGGAAGTATGCACGGAACTCTGAACACTGAAATGTAAAAGGGAGCAGGTGAATTGGGAAAGGAGACTAAAACTCCAAGTTCCACCAAACTGGTGAGAATTTACCGTTTTTTACCTCCAGTGTCACTTGGCGTGTACTCAAAGGCACCCCAAATCTAGAAGCACATACCAACTATGGACCAGAAGAGCTCCCAAAAAAGCCCTCTTTTTATGGACTGAGGCACGGTAAGGGGAATTGTTAAGGGTCAGAGAGTAGAGAAATCCTGTTTTTTCTTTCTCTCCTACCCCAGTCTCCAATCAATGTTACTAAAGAAGCACAGTGATGGCAGCAATGTTCAGGCAGGCACCTAAAACTCTAAGGGAGGAAAACTCTTCCTCTGACCAGAAAAGCTCTGTGACCCAACAAGCAGTAGGTAAATCATAAGCTCTCTGTCCTCTTGCTGCATTGCTCTGGATGCATATGTGGTTACCAAAAGCCAATACATCAGAACAGGGAAAATGCAGCCCAAGCTTTCCAGCTTGAGGACCAGGAAGGGAAACCCAAGATGAGCCAGAAAGCGTTAGGAAAGTCACAAAGAGCAGGAAGATGAAGAGAGCACTCCTGAGCTCATATCTGATTTGTGAGTATGTGCTTTTGAACCTAAACAACACAACATAGATTTCGAGAAATAAGGACAAAGTGGATCACCACCCAGGTCCCAGAAAACTGAGCTAATATTAGAACTAATATCAGAAGATGGGTTTCAAGATGCAGGCTGAACCTAACCTGGTTGATTGACTGCTAATACAAAACCAAATCATAGAATTTAAATAATACCCAAAATTTCATCACGAAATATGTAAAATGTATAGAATACAATCCAAAATAATTTTTCATACAAAGAACCAGGAACACTTTAACTCAGAGAAAAAAGAACCAAAAAATGCTAACCACAAAAGGACATAGATGTTGCAATTATCAAAGACTTTAAAGTAGCCATTATAAACATGCATCAAGAAGTAAGGAGAAATACTCTTGAAACAAATAAAAAGATAAGGCTCTGAAAATAAATAAAAGACATAAAGAAGAATTGAATGAAAATACATATAGAACTGAAAAATTTAAAAAAAAAGATAAAAAAAATTCACCAGCTGTGTTTAATAGAAGAATGGCAGTGAGAGAAGAAAGTCAGTGAGCCTGAAGTTAGAAAAATAGAAATTTTCCAACCTGAAAATTAAACAACACAAACAAAAATTGAACAGAGTGAACAGGGCCTTAATGACCCATGTAGTAATACCAAAATGTCTACCATTCATGTCATTGGAGTCCCAGAAGTATAGGACAATAGGACAAGAGTGTTTTGTAACATATGTTCAGCCATTATGTCCTTCATATATTGGCAGAGTGAGGATTAGACCAGGATGCCTGTCGTCAGAGATATGCTCATAACTGTTCATTTTTTGCTCTTGGTTTCAAATGATTATCACTTGTCATTTAAGAACACAGATCCTGGCAAAATGACCCTTGTCCAGGAAGGAAAGACAGTCATCAAGACAGACAATAGGCAACTATTAATTATGGTGATTGCAGTTCCATATTTCTGAGGGTGTGTGTGAAAAGAAATTCAAAAAAAGGAAATAGGAAAATATTTATAAAGTAGTCCCTGGTATTACTCAAATGGTTGACCTTTCATCAGCCATTTCATTGATTTAAATTGTTCACGCTCCTTGTGCTTTTTGCAACACATCTAAAATGTGTTTCTTATTTGTTGTGATTTTCATTGAATGTGGTCTTAAGCTTCCTGGGTTATTGGAATTTTAGTTCTAGTGTGGAAAGTGATGAGGATAGATGCTTATAAATGATGATGAATCTGAGTCCTTGTTGCATCTTTCTCCCCATCCTAATCTGCTTTAGTCCCTCTGACTTAATTGTCCCTTTAATATCCAGTTACCAGTGTACCAAGGGGTAGAATACTTAAACTACATTATGAGTTCCAATGTAGAAAACAATGATGTCAGGATTCTCCAGGAAAATAAATGGTCCACTGAGAAGTGACTGACCACATTTTTTTTTTTTTTTTTTTTTTTTAGACAGGGTCTTGCCCTGTCACCCAGGCTGGAGTACAGTGACGTCTTTATAGCTCACTGCAACCTCAAATTCCTGGGCTCAGGCCATCCTCCTGCCTCAGCCTCTGAGTAGCTGAGACTACAGGCGTACACCACCACACCTGGCTAATTTTTCTATTTTTCGTAGACACGGGGTCTCCTCCTTGCTTAGGATAGTCTCAAACTCCTGACCTCCAGCAATCCTCTCACCTTGGCCTCTCAGAGTACTAGGATTATAGGCATGAGCCATCATGCCCAGCCTGACTGTGTAGTCTTAAACTTAGATTCACATTGGAATCTCACCAGCAGGAACAGAAAAACAAAACATGAAAATTGGATGAAGTTGGGCATCTTGCGGGTGCAGTCAAAAGAGAATATACAAAGCAAGAGCTTCCAGTGATCCCAGCATGGAAACTGGGAGTGTGATGGATGTGGAGAAAGGACATGCAAACTCTGGAGTGCAACATACATGGCCAAGGCACTTGGCCTCACTTGGATTTAGTTCTTGAGGTGGATGTGGTGAAGCTGCTAGAGCTTAACTAGATGCCAGTCACCTCCAGAAATTTGTTTGCTTGGAATTGCCATATTTTACTGAAGTATTTTTTTTAAGATTCTCTTCCCTCCTCCCTCATACACTTACATTCTTTCTGAAGAGTAATTAGTAGTGTCTCTGGGTGAATCCAGAGACCCTGTGATTTTATTGAAAACCAATTGTAATCAGTACTTTTAAAGGATAGTCCTTAAATTTCACTTTTAAAAATTCAACTGCAACCATTTTTCATTTCTGAGGCAATAGTGGGCTTTCATGATATACTGTTATAATTTCTTGGGAATTTTGTGAGCATCTAATTGTTATTTTCCTTTCCTATTTGTTCTGCAAATTTCCGTTAGCCGAGAATATTTAGACAAAAGAGAGGAGCAAAGACAAGCAAGAGAAGAAAGGTTTGTATATCTCTTCTTTTCCATTATACTCAAATGGCATGCGACTTCGCACTGTTAACCGAGCATGCTGAGGAGACTGTGTTCTTACAATAGCTTCACCTGGGACACCTAAGACCTTGGATAACTGCTGTTTTGCTGACTAGAGTATCCTGGTTGTATAAATTTTCCAGCAAAGTTCAGATTTATTATTTAGTGCCTTTGTGGTGAAATGTATGTGTCTGGTCCTCCCAAGGTCTTCTCCACATGAGCACATTAGTATTAGCATATGACATATGGTGTGTATTTGTACTTACAGCACCACTGACGAGGCTGGGTTAGGGGTCCCTACTGTGTGCTTCCGTGCCACTTGGTCAGCATTCCTTCAACAAACCGAGCACACACACTGTGCCGAGCACTGGCTAGGGTGCCAAACATGCCTGAGGTTCTTGCTGGTTGTGCCTGATCACTTACTTGCCTCTCTACTGAGCAACGCTCAGTTCCTGGATGGCAGGAACCATTCCCGGTTTTCCTTTGTTTCCCTAGTTCTTACCACAGTGCTTGGCATTTAGAAGTGATGCGTGGGATATGTGAGCAAATGAATGAACAGCTTAGTTTAAAATATTCAAGCTGTAAACTAGTTTGTTAATTTCAGTGGAAACGTGCTTTACATCTCAACAAAGATACAAAGCTAATCTATTCAATGCCCCATGAATGTAGATAAGCAAAGGGAGCTGCTTTTGCAAGTAGGCTGACAAGAGACAAGTTTTTACCGTCACAACACAGCCTGCAGTTGTCCCCTCCACCACCAGATGGGGTGACAGCATGGAGAGGTGGGAAGGCTGATTTTACACGTTTTACACCACAGCCAGCTGGGGACCTAACAATTTCTGGACTATGACAATAAGAAGTGGGATTGTGCTAATTTTTAAAATACCAGTTAAATAGATCAGGACAGTCTGAGATAGGGAAGAGTGGAGATTGCTCATGTTCAATTAAAAAATTAGATGCTTAGATCAGTTTCATAAATAAAACTATGTCGTTGCTTTAACTGTAACATTCTACTAGATTATTGTCATCCTAACAACCAGCCATGGCTAGCAAAGTTACAGTGAAATATGCTGGTAAAGACACAAGAACTAACTAGTATCTGTTTTTGACATCAGAGGGCATAACATACTTACGGTGAAAATGCTGTTTACTTTCTGCTCAGGCAAAGGGAATTAGATTTAATTTTTTTAGTTCTTCCTCCAGATTCTGCCCTTCCTTGAGCTTTTGACAACTACAACTAGACTGTCGGGTTATGTCTGCACAGGCAAAGCTTGGCAGCTCCCAGGGAGATGTCTGGGTGTTGTGTCAAGGTCTGAACTGGCTCAGACTGACTTTGAAATCTTCCCAAACCACTGAAGTCCAGCTCCTTCTGGATATTATTTACTGCTCCTTTTCCCGAACAGGCCTTTATTGGTCTGGGAAACTCGTGCAGAGGAGGTTGCTACTCCCCTCCTCCCTCCTCTGGTTCTACCCTTAGTGCTTGCCCTCGGGCTGCCCATCGGCCTGGGTGCAGGAGCAGGCCCTCCAGCCCCCGGCGATTCTTCCCTTACAGACCGCCTGTCTGTTTACACGCAGGTCTGGGGAAGGAGCCCCGCATTTCCCTTTGGTTTGGACTAGCCACTTTTCTTAGTTTCCTTCTTGCATTACCTGGTGAAGATGGAAGTGAAGAACATAGACTTTTATCTCTGTTTGGAAAGCTATTGGGGGTTCCTGGTAAGCCAGGAAAAGATAAGATTTCCAAATATAACAATTTGGAAATCGATGGAGAAACTAATAGGAATCAGAGGTAGAAAGAAGTCCAGAAATAAGGAAGAGGGCTCCATCTGTTAACTTTTCAAGACAGAGCCAAGCGTGTTCGTCAGGTCCCATGTCTCTTATGCTTAAAGCAAAGACTCAGAAAAAGACAGCCGGAGTCACAGCGGATGGTTTTTGAGGTTTGTATCATGTAAGTGTAACAAGACGAATGTCCTTTTATTTTGAGGTGTGGTAGCCATCCAGATACGTGTTATTTCATATCATTGCACTCCAAAATTTCAGGCAAACTGTGTTATTGACAGTGGTGTAGACCAGGAATAAGTTTCTATTGAGATGCTGCTTCTGATTTTTTTAAATATTAGAAGAAAGGCTTTATATGATAATGACAGATTAAAGTGACATTCACAGATAATTTAAAGGAAATAAAAAAGAAGGGGTTAGTAAGGAATGAGAGCCAGGCTGGGGATGTGCTGGGGTGGTGGCAGGGGAGGATCAGTCGAGTTTGGGTTTGTCAGTCTGAGGGGGATGGCAGGACGTGGAGAGGAAATGCCTTCTGGCACACGGGCTATGGGAGCAGAGTGCAAGGGAAAGGTTGGGACTGGGCTAGGATTTCGGCAGTTATGCGTGAAAGTGATCAGTGGAGCAGTGAGAAAGGGTTCTGAGCATTGCTTAGAAGGACTGAGGACAGGGTAGAAGTTAGTGGGAGCCGATTTTGGTTTAGCGTCAGGAAGGATTTCCCAGTACAAAGTGGCAGCAGAAGCCATCAGTGAGTGGGTTTAGGTTCATCTCGAGTCAAGCGGGGCTTCTGTAGGGCCCTGTGAAAAGCGACCGAGCCGCAGTACCAGCCCTGCCGCCGTACCCTGGTGAGCGCTGGGGTTCATCCCCGTCATTTATTTGCCTCTCTCTCCTCCACTGAATTGTGAGCTCCGTGAGGGGGGATTTTTTTCATGTTTATTATTAAATCTCTAGTACCTACTATAGTTCTTAGCATGTGACAGGTGCTTGACAAATGTTCCATAAATAAATGAAAAGATGAATGAATAAACAAATGATATGGGCAGAGGTAGATAGGATAAATGGGAATGTTTAGATGAAAAGGTAGAAAGTCTTGGGGCTGTGGGTTGTGGATAGAAAGCCCATTGCTCTCACCAGGGGAGGCTCCATCAGCGTCTGTTGGCTGGGTGTGGCCTCATGTGACAGCAGGGACGTGTGACAGTTATTGCATGAGGCGGTGGGCTCCCCGGATCAAGTACTATTGGGCCGTGGCACTTAGAGTCACTGTCTGAGAGAAGGTCATGACATAGGTCAGGCTTCCTCCCCAGGGACTGCTGGAGGTTCTCTGGGGCCAGGGGTGGCTGTGCTGCAGCTCTGTAAATGCTGGCAGCATGGCTCTCCTGTGCCCAGGAAGTCCACCGTCCTCGTCACTCTGGCCGTTGCGGACGAACACTGCTGCTGCTTCTTCAGGAAGGTTCAGTGCTCTTAACCTCCACCTCTCTCTGCCCCTGACGTTTAAAAAAGTTTTTAATTGTGATCAAATGCATATTCCATGTTGTGTGTACAGTTCAGTAGTGTTAAGTGCATTCACATTACTGTACAATTTGTCTTCAGCACTCTTATAAAACTGAAATTCTATACCCATTAACCCAGCAGTCCCCAACATTTTTGACAGCAGGGACTATTGTGGAAGATAGTTTTTCCACAGAAAAACTGGGGGATGAGGGGGCGTTGCTGCCTCAGTTCCACCTCAGATCATCAGGCCCTGGATTCTCATGGGGAGCCCTCGCATGCACAGTTTTCAGTGGAGTTCGGGCTCCTATGAGGGTGCGATGCTGCCGCTGAGCTGATGGGGGCGGGGCTTGGGTGGTGACACGAGCTATGGGGAGCAGCTGTGGGTACAGGCGGGGCTTTGATCACTTGCCCAGTGCCTCCTGCTGGGGTGGGGGCCACAGCATTAAATAACTCCCCCTCTCCCCACCCCTACCCCTACCATTTTTGTCTACTACACAAACATCACATTCCTTGGGACAATTAGGAATTGTCCCATGTATCATGGACCCTCCGTGATGGCATCCATGGGACCAAGGGCTGCACAGGCATAGTTTTTGAGTCACACCTACCCAGGGTCTGGGATGAGCGGCTCTTGGAGTCCTTCAGAAAGTCGGGGGAGCCCTTGGCTGCCAGCACATGCCTGCCAAGGCTGCCCAGAGGGAGGGGCGTGGGAGGCCAGGACCAGGACTGGGCCAGCGAAAATGAAGGCCATAGTGGGTTGTCTTCCTGGCTGGAATATTTCCTGCGAGGCCTCATTGCCACCCTCCCTGGACTTTTCTGAACTCCTGCTCTGCAATTCTGATCTCTTCCTGATGTCCCGGGCCTGTCCTGGTCCCATTCCTTGCCTGCTCTCTCCTTTCGCAGTAGGCTTGGCCTGGGGTTGAAATGCCTGTGCTCATGTCTCCTCTTGGGCTCGCAGCATCCCCAGCCTTGAGGGTGCCACCGTCCCATGTAAGACACGCCTCCTGGGGGCCTGCTTCGTGCCCTCAAGATCATTTTCTCCCCAAGGTTCCTATTACTTCCACAGCCTGGTGCGTTTTCCTTGCCAGCCTAAATTAAGTTCTGGAACACATTCCTTTTGTTACCTCTCTTACCTTTTGAGAGGTGATGCTGGTGACAAGGGAAGTGCAGAGTTTCTGAGTCTTTCTCTCCAGGTCTGGCTTTATCCTGTACCTGTGAGGCAGCTGCTCTCGGCGCCAAGCCTCAGGTGTTTGTATAGACGTACATACCCGTTGCACATCTATTACCAGAGATTCACCTGAAAGCAAGCTCACCCTCACAAAAATGAAATAGGGTGCATTTGCCCCCTCAGCATCCTGGGCTGCAGGAGGGCCTCGGCAGGTGGGGTGCCGCTCCCCATGCACAGGTTTCTCCCTGCACGCTTTGCCTGCTTCCCATCAGCCCACACATTCGCAGCACCAAGGGAAAGAACAAAGGATGGTAATCATCCTGTTCACAGAAATCCAATTATCTGCTTGTTGAAAACAGACATGCACATGTGAAAAGATGACTAAATATGCCAGGCAGCAAATGTAAAATGCCATGTGAGTTGAATGGACTACATATCCGACATGAGTTCAGAGGCAAGGCCAAGATCGCTTCCAGCTGCGGTGGTCGAGGCAGGCTTCTAGGAGGGAGAGGCACACGCAAGCGTGGCCTGATGGGCGGACTGCCTTTGGGCTGGCAGGGGAAGGGGTGAGGATTCCAGATGGGGGAACCACACCCACCTTAAGGCTGGGATGGGGAGAGGCATGCTTTTTCAGTGCATTGTTTTTAAAGATTTTAAATATGTGCCGTGCCTTTCCTATCTGGGGGAATTGGGAGCATCTTGCCTGGTCCCTGATGTGAGGAACTGAAGCAGTGGATCCGGGTGCATGTGAAGTGAGGGTCTTGAGCAAGCTGTTTCACAGTTCAGCGGTGGATATGATAGTAAGAAACCTGCTACAGCTGCATTCATGCATTTATTTCCCAACAAATAATAGTGGGTAAAATTAGACATCTGGAAGAGGCACACGTTTCCAAGTTATTTTGGTCTGATCTATAAAGCGCACTATGAGGAATATGATTGGTAGCTGGTCTTAATAAACAGTTAGTGGGTTCTGCCTGCCTGAAATGCAAAACAGATGTATCTTTGTTCTTTTAAACTGACTTTGATGAATAAACTATATGTGACGTCAGGTCCAAGCTGTTGGATGTCTGCGTCCTACTCAGAAATATTTTAGAATATAAAAAAGTTTCCATGGTCGACGCTGAGAGAACAAAGTGAATTCCAGTTGCATTGCTGTTAGCATTGAAGCAGGTTCAGAAATTCAGAGAGGCAGGCCTTCATCCAAGCAACCCCTTTTGGTATTGTGGGGGCATTTTTTCCTCTCGGCCACACCGAGGGACCCACCCATCTCACAGCTGCAAGCTCTGGGTGGGTTTGCTTTTCAGCTGCCACTCCTGGGCCTTTTTGGTGGTCGTTATTGCTGGTTTGCTTTTTTGTACAAATGTTTCCAAAAAGAGCAAAATAGGATTCTGCAGCAGTGTTCCAGTGTCTGGGGACCGTGTGATGTTGCCACCTCCCCTAATTCGTTTGGTTATGAGTGACGCGGGGTTTTTAATCATTAGCATCTTGGCTTTGCCGGGTGGTGTTGGCAGCCTGACCCTCCAGTCAGGCCTGCGCTGTGCTCTGTGCATCAGGAAACCAGCTCGCTCTGCAGGTGTTTCGTCCATAAACAAGCATCAGCCACGGACTCCTCTTTCTTTTGACGGAAACCCTTTGGAATTTAACTTTCAGATACAAATACTTGGAACAGTTGGCAGCCGAGGCGCACGAGAAGGAGCAGAGAAGCCGGAGCGTGAGCCGGGCCAGAGTCGACCTCTCCTTGGACCTGACCTCACCGGCAGCTCCCGCCTCCCCTGCCCCTCAGAGCCACAGCCCGTCATCTTTAGACTCGCAAGAGGCTCTCACGGTATCGTCCTCCTCCCCGGGAACACCTCAGCATCCCCCAGGTGAGTGCAGGGGAAAAGAGGGAGAGTCGATGGGTTAATGTCAGGCTGCTTCTGGGCAGCCGTAAGGATTCCAAACTGCAGACTAACACTGAAGTAGCAACTACAGCACTACTGCACTCGACTAGTCTAAAAACAAAAGGAAAAAAAGAAATGAAATAGCAACCACAGGCAATAAGGGGGTGGCTGCAACCTGCACTGTCACTAATAACCTAGACGTCTTCAGAGCCACTTACAGTAAAGCAAAATTACTCATAAAGGTCATCAACGTATGATCATTGAGAAGGAAGAGTATAGAAAATAAGACTGACTTGGACATTTAACCCTAAAAACCAGAGTATTCCATTTATAATTTGGATATGTGGGATCTGCCCAACAAACTGACCACTTTTGAATGTTCTTACCCTAGGAACTGTTGGTCTAGTTTAAAATTAAACTGAAGGAGAATAAAATTAATTAAAGCAAGCAAATAAAAATGTGGATCTACTGGAAATAGAGGTTAAATGTCAAAGAAGAAAAAAAATTAAAATTGTAAAAATTACTGGCTTGTGGTTGCGGGGGGGTATGAGTGCACGCTTATGTACGTACAGTCTCTCCCTGGAGAAATTCTGTCAGCTTTATTTGGAGAAGAACAGTGATATTGTTCACTGCAGTTTTGAGCATCAGCCGTTTTCCTGGCTGTTCCGCACATTGTGGGTCCGTCTTCTTGCACATTAACACAGAGGATGGATCTCGGGCACAGACTCTACACGGCGCATGTTGATTAACACCGCTGCCAGCACTGTTTGTTTTAGTCGAGTGTTATGGCTTAATGCCTGATGTAGACTTAGCCAACTGAAGACAGCAGAGACACTAAACTTTTAACTCTAGGAGCATTTGACTAAATATGGTGTAAAGTTTAATTTAAACAAGCCAGGACGCCATGACCTCAGCAGAACTGGATGTAACGGAATGATAGCGTCTGTCCAGTTCTTTGCTGGCATTCTGAGCCTCGGCTCATTCTGCAGGAGCAGGCTGGCCGCACCATGGCTTTCCGTGACGTCCAGTTACTCCTGGTCCCGGAGCCAGGGAAGACTGTCCCAGGCAGATGGCTCAGTCACAGATGAGTAATGTCGGTTTTAAAATATTGAGACTCTGAGAATCAGGAAAACAGACCGTTCTATAAAATCCATGTGCTGTGCCTCCTCCACCCTGCCTCCTGTCATTGCTGTGTTTACATTGTGGTATTTCCGGAAGCAATGTGAAAATATCTTCCTGCAAAGTTGCGGTTCAGCACTGAATCTTGGGACTTTTAACTCCAGGAATTGTATTTTAATACTTTAGCAGCTTACAGAGTAACTGTCTAAACTGTGAAACACAGAACAGCTCCAAGCTGAGAGGGGATTGTCAGTGTCTATAAATACTGTTTGTCCTCAAAGTTTAATCTACGTGACGTTTGTGACAAAAGACAGTTCCTCATGTATTTAGTCCAATTACAGTTGAACTTGAGGCCATTCTATCCAATTAAAAATACAGAATATTTTAAACTTCAAGAAGAACACAGAAAATAGTCATTTTATATATGATATACAGTATGGATGTGGGGAAGGTATCACGCTATGTCAGTATGCTTTCACAAAGATAATAGCAAGTGTCATTTTCCTCTTCAGGGAAGGGCTTAATAGAGACTGAGAGAATCTTTGACTAACATCACACAGTAAGTGACATGTGCGTCTGAAAAAGGAATGTTGAACTTGAAGTTATATGTAATCACAAATTAATAAAATAGCATCGTATGATGGTATTTGCTTTTTTTTCCGGGAAAAAATGAAAAGCACTGCTCCTGTGGGATCTAGAAGAGCTGTCTGTCATATGTTAAGTGTTACCATTCTTGTCCCAATCAGTGGGAACCAGCAAGGTATTATCACTTCCTTGTCTAATGTGTAACTGACTTAAAAAATTAGAAATTACAAGCATATAAAAAGAAATGCTGCAAGAGGGTGGTCTCGCAAAGAACTGCTGGGGCTTCCTTCTGCTTTGGGGACTTTTGCCCTTGTGACAGAAATGCAAAACTGATATGACAGAAAGCCTTTTCTCAGCCCAGTTTGTTGTTCTTTGAAACATTCTGCCGGCACCCAGTTAATAGTGTTTTCTTTTGACCAGGTCCCATTTTCAAATGTTCAAAGTGACTTTTTGCTTATCCCTGACATTTCTAATATCCTGACATCTGGGGGAAGAATCAAAAATATAATCACACATCCAGATGTTTGTCCTGTACCAAACACCTGGCATTATGTGGTCCAAATGTGCCAGGCACTGACTTGCTTTTTCATTCTTTCTCCTTGTGGGATCAAATGATCATAACACACTTCACATTTCTGCAGCACTCTGCCCCTTGCTCCCAAATGCTGCTATTTAATATCTCGCCATGTACCTGGGTGAGTAGGGGAGATGTTATTCTCTATATTTTACTGAGGCCCAAATATATTGGAAGATTTGCTTCAGATCTTGCTGGCACAGTGCTGGGAATAGAACCCAGTGTTTCCACTCCCATCCCGGCCATGTATCCTGAGCTTGCGGTTCCCTGGTATTTGTGGTGATGTTCACATTGACACCGTCCCATCGCTTTGCTAACTGTCTCCCCAGTAGCTGCAAAAATTGTGATCTGTCTTTCAGAGTTAAAAGGAAAAACTAATATTTGTTATTAAATCATATATACCTCAGGATTAAAGGTCCTTTTATGAATTTGTTAGATTCTGGAGAACTTTCGAAACTCCTTTTCCTTTCCCCTTACAAACTATATTTTCAAAAAAGGGCGGGCTAATGGTAAAATACTAATAGCATTATGTACCATCTAGTGAAATCTTTCAGCCCAAACCCTTCCCAGCTCAACCTGTTGTAACTTCCGTGTAAGTGCTGCCACTGACCCCATCAAGTCAGTGTGTGCTTGGATGATTTTTCCATGTGGCCTGTTTGTGACTCAGCAGGTGTGTGTCCCTCTATGGCTTGGACTTAGTGGCTATGGTCTGAGTATTTTCCCTCTTTGTAAAGTGACCATGCCCAAGCGAGGAAAACACATGCATGTGTGTTCTCATTTGCACCGTGTTGTAATTAATGGAGATGATGATCAACCTAAAGTTCAGGGAAACACAGAAGGGCATCTTTCTATGTCCATTGCTTTGATAGCCTTTCCTTATTTTCACTGAGCCCTGGGGGTGCATCAAAATATCTACCTAATCTTATTTCCCATTATTTTAAGAAACTCACAGATGACTCTGAAAACAAAGAAGTTATTCTCACTAATCAGAAAAGGCAGTGTTTTTATTGGGATAGAGTTCTTTAATAATGATTCTTAAGAAAGTTGCTCTGAGGATTAAAAAAGTAATAATCTGTGTGCCCATAAGTGAAGTCAGTATAGCCAGGTAACCTCTTATCCCAGTATGTATCAGATCCAGGTAACCCATTTCATGGAAACAAAGTAGAGAAAAACTGCTCACCCGCAAACCATAGGTTGATGGTCCCTCCAGGGTATCCCAGGGTCGAACTGCTTTCCCTGGAGAGCCAGAACTATGCTCCTTCCTTGCTGCATTCCTCATACAGGAGTCCCTCCTGAGGCCATGTAGAGAGAAATGATCTTTTCCAGTGGAAGGAAGCTGCTGTCAAGTATCTTTTGCCCACTGACCTGGCCATGAAAGCAAACATAATGGCTAGATTATCTTTTATTAGTATTGGCTCAGTACTTTTTGTATTGCACGCAGAAATACTACTTTAGAGATGCATTTGAAATTGTTGCCACACTATATTATTTTTACGTCAGGGGAAAATACATTCAACAGCGATTTTTTTTCCCTACCTGTAAATGGATTCCTTGGTATTTCTAAATGTCTCATTGTTGGGCCCTGGAGATACAAAATGTGGCCTAGATAGCCATGGCCTGCTCACCAGCATTTACCTAGCAGCATTTACAGAAACGGACAATGGTATACTGATATTTCCTTCCACAGATCCAAACATTTAAAGTGCTAGAAACTATGAAAATTCTTCTACCCTCCTGATCTTCAAACCTGAAAATAACATATAGATGTATAGTTATATCATGAAGTGTTCAGTTTATTTAAATGAGTATTCATTTTTCCTGTGGGGGCCCATTCATCATTTTGGCTGTTGTCATTGTTACCAGTGACTGAGCATCTTTGTCACCTTTGTGGTGTAGCACGTATGTTTTGAGTCTCCTTCAGGTGTAGGCACTCTCCTAGGTTACCTAATCCACATGGCAGAAATCAGAAACATCTGGTATCCTATTTCCAGCTGGCATGGTAGCAGTGGAATATCATCAATCATCAGCCTAACGCTGCACGCTGGTTCTCTTGCATAAAGCTTTTGGATGCCTCCAGTCCAGTGTTTCATGAGTTGGCAGGAAACTAGATTCCTTGTGGTTCTGTGACTCAGGGCTGCCCTACCCCCTACCCCCACCCCCACCTTCCCACCTTCCCACCCTGCCTGCCTGACTGCTGCTACTCGATGCTATGTAGTCAATTGGACAAAATCTCTCGGGAACTCCACCCAAGGCCAAGGCCCTACCTGCTGCACCTGCTGTGGGATTTTACTGAGAGTCTTGGCCAATCGCTGGATATTTTTTTTGCCTTGCCATGTCCACTCTCTAAAAATGGAAAAAGGCAAAAATTTCCCTTTTTCTCCCTGCAGAACCGACAGTTGTCTGCAGTATGTTTTCTTGTACCATATTTTGAAACATTAAACAGTCTCAAGTCCTTCTGAAGTAGACAAAGTGTAAACCTTAAGTAAAGAGAAGGCACAGAATGGCACTGGAATGTTGGTGAAGGGGGCATTATCTGATCAATATGGACGATTTCCTAGGCAGCTATTAGGTGTCAAGAACTGTGAAGGGACTGGACTGAGAGACTTTACCCTACTGGCAAAGCTAATAAATTAGCCTGCCACAATTTTAGAGATGCTGGCAGAAGACACAAAACTCCAGGGTCAGAGATAAAGGGCATTATTACTTG